ATCTGCAGATTTTTTATAATGAATGAATGCTTGATTTTCATCTTTTTCAACTCCAATTCCATATTCGTAACAGTAACTAAGCCAGAATATTCCGTCTGAATTATTCATATCAGCAGATTTTTGATAATCAATAAAATTCAGTTGATTAAAAAAGCTAGTCATTTTAATAACGTTATATGATAAACCTAATATCTTTTTGTTTCATTTGATAAATAAATAAAAAAAAGTCAATAAATATTGAATATCAAAAAATAGTTACTACTGTCGTTAATTAATTACAGTTATAGTTAACATACAAAAAAACTATATGTATATGTAAAATATATATATTTCGAATTTTCAGATAAAAATATAATAGTAAATAATGATATAGTAAATTTTTACGAAGATAACTTGAAATTTAAATAATATATTGCTACACTACGTATTAAATGTCATTGTTTCTATTTTTTAAACAAATTAGTTATACATCAGAATTTTATTCCGATAAACTTTTGTTTATAGAATAAAACTATAAAAACACGATAAGAGTACAGATATAAAGATAAGTAATATTATAAAATCAAAATGTTTAACTATAAAGTTTTTATTCAGTTTATTATTTTACTCGAAAGGTATTTTTTTATTAAATATATTATTTTTATTTAATCTAATTTTTTTTATTTTTATAGTATGTCTTGGCAAAGAAATTTTCTAAGAAATCCTGATGAAGAAGAACTTGAACTTCGTCAATGACAATCGTTATTATTATATCAACAATATGAACTTATTCAACAACAGTTAAGACAATCACCTCAACAATCTTATTTAAGTGAATACGAAAAGAAAAAGTATGAAAATTTGTTAAATATTAAGAATCAAGAAAATGAAAGATTAAAATGAGAAAACAATAGGCTTAAACAAGAATTAAATGATAAACAAATCTCTATCAAATGTTTAATTAAAAATAATGATGGAAATAATGATTTTTTGTTTAAAAAAATTAATGATTTAGAAAATAAAATCAAAGAATATGAAAATAGTAATGTTGGTACTCCTATGAGTATTGTTCATAGTCCTAGCTAACTTACATTTAAAAAATTAATTATTTGATTAATTATCAAGTTACTTAAAATTTAGCAATCAATAAAGTAAAAAAAAAATAATTAAATTAATTATCTAATGCGTAGTTATTTTTAATAAAAAAAACAAAAAAATAAAGAATCGTGAGTTTTCCAACAGACAAGCATTGATTATAACATAAATATTCTTTATTTAATTAATTTAATTTAAATTATTATATCGTTATATTATTGTAAATTTTTATTTTATTTAATTATTTAATTAAAGAATAAATAATATTTTATTTAAATAATATGTACGTAGTACATATTTTAATTTGAAAAAATGTTAAGTTTTTTTTTATGGTATGTTTTATTTTATTTTTTTTTTGTTTTTATTTTTTTCTGAAATGATATGTTGTTAGCCTTTGTATTTTAAGTTACAAAGTTATCAAGTCTCACTACATGAAAGCTAACATATCTTATGAGACTTTGGTAAGAGACATATTCGTAGGCACCAACTCGTACCAAGAGATCCTCACTCATGCGAATTAAACAATAGCCTCAACAGGGTAAGTTGTAGGTTATATCCCAGGTCAGGCTCGAAGTAGTGCTCTCCCTGTTACCTTTCACAAGGATCGCCCGTAATCAAATCAGAACGACCAGACCATCTACAGCTATATGTAGTCAATATCACATGAGATTCAGAATCATCTCATAGCAATATGCCCTGGAATACTTAGTTTCGGAGAACGAATCTCCTAATAGTCCCAACTGCCACAAAGAGGCGTATTCCTTAGTTGGGGTATAATAACACATCAATCCCAAATACAAACCTAGAATAAATTAATACATCATTTAATATCAACAATGTAATTATGATGTATTGATGATAACATTTCACAAATTCGTAACTATGCACCTAGAAATAAAAGAAAACATTAGAATGAATTAATTAAAGAAGAAACAATAACAAAAGAAACAAAAAAACTAGAATATCAAATATCCAAACAAGAAAATCTTCCGTTACAAATAAATTCTAATTCCAGAAAAAAGAAAAACGTTTGATCTATAGAAAAAACAAAAAAAAGTTAGTAATGCTGATGAAATTCATAATACATTTAACAATAACTAATTTCAACAAAACCACCAATGTATATACAATGACAACAAAAAACAATCACAATTCTTTTTAAAAACCAAAAATGAAAGATCGAAGAAAAGAAGAATGATGATTCCGATGAAAGCAACTAGCAAAAAGTTCAGAAAGAATCAAAGACTAAGAAAAAGGAAGAAAATAACTACATTAGAACAAAATAAAACCTAC